CCTTCTGCAAGGACTTTCCCTCCATAGATACATTTTGCTGTAATAAAACAGAAAAACTGGTCAGACAGCCATGCTATGCAACAAAATGACCTCAGAGGTGCCATCCAACTCCAACAGATTCCACAGAACATAGATTCTCTGACTCTAAACAATACAGATCTCTTTGCACGTCTAGAGTAAGCTATGAGAATAGTTTGGGGATAACTGCTCAACCCGCTATCAGACCATCACCTTGGTTATGTTTGCCACAAGCCCATCACACCAGGGATGTACAACTATCTCAACGTTGCAGTTGCTGAACGAACTAGAGAATGAATTGATGTGGTCAGACGTTAAAACAAGGAAGAAGTGGCTGTCATCACCACCACAGCAGCAGCTTTGATTCAGACACTTCAGCCATAAAATGAGTATCTGGGTGAAAGGGGACTCCATTCATCAGGACCTCAGCCACAACGCAGAAGGATGACATATTTGTTCTCTTGTGATCATAGCAAGTGCAAGTCTTTAGCCTATCAGTTCGCGGGAAGCCAAGAGACAACTGAGAAAAACAAGCCAGTGAAGATGCTTTATTAATGCAGTACAGAGATTGCCTTTGGAAAGGTTAGCTTAAAAGGCTAACAGGGAGGCACGGAATAGAGACAGGCCCTGTAGAAAAGTTAACAGAAGCATAAACGAAGCTCCCACCACTCAACTTGATTCCACTGGAACTCAATCCTTGATTCAACTTGCTGACCCACTTTTTAAGCAAGTACAGAGTATGTTCATTTGTTACCCACACCTGCCACCCATACCCCACCTTCTAACTTCACCCTCTTACTCAACCCTGTGTCCAGTCAGTACCCAAATCCCAGCAATGCTCTCTAAGTTTCTCAAGGCAACCCACTTTTCTCCATCCCCACCAACTGCCCTCAGATGCTCTCTTCACTCAGGCCATCAACATCCCCCCTCTTTAGTAGACCACAGTTTCCTCACTTGTCTCCCACGTTCTGGTCTCAATCTTATCCAGTCCTTCCCCAGACAACAGTCAGACACATTTTGTTAAGTGCAGATATGAGGCTCTGCTTTAAAATCACTATGGGTAGCTACTGCCCTCAGAATATAGTCCAAATTCCTTAGTTACACACGCAAAGGCACCCCTGCGGCTCCACCTTCTCTCTCAAGCTTCACAGCTCACCTATTTCTAAGCGTTCACTCTCCCTCCCAAACGTCCACACCTTCTCTTAGACATCAGCCATGCTCTCTTCTGCTCCCGGGGTTTGCATACACTGTTCTCTTCCCCAGGAACACTCCGCCTCATCCACCTTCTCCCGTAAGCCTCCATCCTACTGACCACCCAGCAGTTTCAACTCAGTCCTGAGCTCCCAGGAAGCTGCTCTGGACCTCTAACACTGGTGGACTCTTGGAGCTTCTGTTGTACTCTGGACCTGGCCCTGACAGAGCACACATCACATACCGCATATCACACATCTCAGTAGCTCACCTCACTGCACACCTCCCCTGCTCACCGTAACCTCCACGAGGTTGGGGACTGTATCTACTCGTAATTTTATCTCCAGCCCCAAGCTCAGTGCCTCTCTGGGCATATTGTTAGTAATAAATAATTTTTAAGTTAATGAACCTCTTTGGTAGCAAGAACCCATCAAATTTCCTGATTCTCAGATGAGTTCTTTCTTCTCTTCAGTGCAATTTCAAACATTAGAAGCAGATACCAAGGTTTTCAGAACAAAACCATCAACAAAGTAGAGAATCAATACAGTTTTCTAGAGAGCCCCCTTCCTCCCTTCATTTTAAATAAAATTACCCCTGACCATCTTTCATGACTCGATTTTCTAGACGTATCAGTTGATTCTGACTCCTTGGCCCTAATGATGATGTGGATTCCCCAGTTTGCTTGCAGTGGGGAGACCACACCTCCAAGGTCCCGAAATTTGTGTCTGATAAACTCCCACGTTCCCAAACACAGCTGCTGCCAACTTGGCAAGATGGCTGCCTCCAGAGTGGCAGGCCTGCTAAATACACTGCTGTCAAATCTGCCATCTGCTCCTTGGCCCAGGCTGGGAAGCAAAGACATCAACTTTCCTTCTGCCTTTTGCACCTTGCCATCCCGACAACGGCATGATCACACTTGCTGCCCTGTCTGAAGACATTCACCTGCCTCCTCCGTCCCTCCGACAGACACCCATCCCAGCACTCCTGTCCGGAGACAGGAATGTCTCACTGTTTGCATTCACGTCACACTCGGGACACATCCACCCCTCAAGTCCACCAATCTCGTCTAAAAATTAAATGTCCCCTCAACTTCACAACCTCCCATAGCAGGGTGCTTTAGGGGCTGCAAATGACGTCAGCATTGTGCCACATGCCTCAGTCATTTGCAGCTTTGGCGCCGATGCAGGAGGCGTGTGTGATGATGGTTATCAAGTATCATCGCTGGGGGCCTCAGGAGTTTCCCCTGCTATCTCACCCTCAGCTGACTTCTCTGACGGTGCCCCTCCTTCCCTGCCACTGCCCTCCATATGCCCAACATCAGTCCTCATTATCCAACCTCTTGATCTACAGCCAGAAGGCTTATTTTTGATGTCGGAGGAAATTCAAGCATAAGGTGAGTCAGGCTGCGGTGCCTGGGGCTGGGGCATGTGGGACTCCATTCCAGCAAGCTTTCAGCATGAGTAGAAATGTAAATGGATACCTGAAGCCCTGCGCGCCACACTGGGGACATGCAAACTAGACTGTTTCACCGTGTCCGACCATGAAATTGAAACCTGGCTCCAACAGACATTTCTCCGCGATGTCAGAAACACACGTAGGGGGGATTTACAGCAACAGTTATGCAGTTGTATCTTTTTGCAACCCCAGACACCTGGCCCTTCAAATCCAAACCTGAGTACTCTAGCACAGCAAATGGACACTTTTGCCATTTGGGGACATATAAACAACTGACAGGCACAACTTGGCACCCCTGTCAGATGCGGACACGAGGTTGCTCTGTCTTTATTTAGGTATTTGTACCCTGCACACACTCCAGCCATCCCTTGATACTCAGCAGCTTAGAATATCAAAATCGACTCTATTACACTTTAAAGGAGTGGCAGATCAGAAAGGCTGAACACTCAAGGATCCACCCCCCTTCAGTGAGCTCATTCACAGACCTGGCTTCAGATACCACCTCACTGAGCAAGACATCCATATCAAACTGGTTCTCCCTCTGGTGTCTCCAACTCTCTGATGCCAAACAGAATGCATCACTCCTCAAACCACTTCTTGCACTTGCCCTATTTCTGTTAATCGCGCTACATGTCTCCCACGAGCTCTTGTTCAAAATATGCCAACTACTCCCTTACACACGTTCTATTCCTGATTCATCTGTCTCATGCACAAAAAAAAAAACTGCTTATGGAGTACCTCCCATGCACCAGGTCTTTTGGCCACCACTCACTTCCATCCCTTCCTGTCCATCTCCCCAGGCAGCGCCTGCTTGTGAACCTCATCACCTCCACCTGCAATACACGTGAATCCCACATCCAGTCCCCTGCCTCCAGCTATTCCAACGCAATGGCTTTTGTCAAAGCATTTCTTTGATTACACCACAACCCTACTTTAAAATCTTGCTTTTGACTCCCCAAACCAACACTGTGTTTACTTCCATGATTTTGCAATGTGCGATTCCCTTTGGCAGGTGTGTTCTTACCTACCTTGTTCACATGGCAAACTCCTATTCACTTGTCAACATCCTACTCAGCTGTTCCTTCCCCTGTGAAGTTTTCCTAACACATTCACACCCAACTTTCTCCCTTCTCTTCGCTACTTTTGCATCTTACACAGCATGCACGTTGCACAATATTTTGTTGTAACGAGACAGTGTGTACTCCTCCCTGGACAGCAGAGGGTAGAGAGCATTAGTTCTGGAGCCAGACCACTCGGGTTTTATTTTGGCTCCATCAAGGCTGAGAGACCTTGGACATGTCAGTTCTCCTGTCTGGGCTTCACCTCCTCATTATAAAATGGTGATAATACTGGGGCCTATAGCTCTGGGTTGTTGGAAGAATTACATGAATAAATTATTAAGTGTAGTAAGAATTCCACTTAATACAGTGTCTGACATAAAATGAATGACGCACATGTACCCACTGTTGTACTCTGAGGTCAGAACATTATTGAGAGAGGAACTTCAGTAAGGATACTGAATGAATTCAATGGAATATTGTCCAGCCCCAACCCACCTTTGCAGCTTATTCCTACTTCTCACTTACAGAAACTATCCATTAGCATCAAACAGACCATCTTCCTCTCCCTCTGCCACCTCTTTTCCTTCGCAAATGCTGTTTGGCATCACTGAAGAGTCCCTCTCCACCCTCTTCCTCTCACATCTCTGACAGCTCCCAAATCTATCACCAAAAGAACACAGATTCCAGGATACCACTCTCTGGAGACTTTGATTTAATAGGTCAAAGAAGGGCCCTGGGGCTCTCTAGTTCCAGAAGTTTACCAGGTGATTCTAACGTGTAGCTAGGTGTGTTTAATGCCTTGAACAAAGCAAACACCCAAGAAATGTTTGAGAAATGAAACTCCTACACTACCTCCTGGACGGCCATGCCCACAGCTAAGGAATCTAGAAGGCTCTCGGGTTTTCTCTGAT